ATTTGGGGAACTGGGAGGTTAACAAATGATGGACAATTAGATCAAATTTTTGGCTACCTTTCAAAACTAATATTACCTCTTCACTACTGATATTTTTGTTATAGTGCTGCTACTTTCATATGACAGAACTCTAGCCACACCAACATGGCCCTTAAAAACAATTTCACTTTACTGAAGGTAAAATAACAGGAAGCAGCAACTAAAATAAAGAAGAATTTTTGAAATATTCCTCCAATAATAAGGAGCTTCACTGTCAACCAAAAGGCAAATAGTTTGAGTCTACCAGCTGCTCTGCAGAAAGATAAAGGTCAATCTCCTCTCGTGTGACACACAGTCTCTGAAAATGTGCTAGAGGGTCAGCTATGAGTTGATTTCAACTTGAAAGGACATTATAATCACCACTATCAATGATAAAAATGTTACCGTGCAAATTACATGTGATAGACGATAAAAGTGGTCATAAATGATACTTTCAATGAGGGAAAACCTTTAAACAGAAAACCACAAAAGAAACTATTAATGCAACACAGATATATCTATTATCTATGTTATGTGCATATAAAAATGAAAATGCTCAATTTAAGTCTTACTATGAGTCAAAATAGTTCAAAAGCGACTAATGTGCTAAAACTGTGCAATTGAAAATTTTACCAGATGGTGGTGCTATAATTCTTCACATGGAAAAATGGCCAAAAATAACACTCTAAAAACTTTCCTTTTAATTCAAGGCTCCACATCATCATTTCAGACAATAATTTAAATATTCCAAAATAGAGAACTCAATAGTAATAAATATATATACTATTTATTCAAGGCAAGATTAAGAACGCGAACATCTCTGGTACACAGTAAAATACGAATTATAAATGGGAATCACTGAATGAATTTAAGAGCTCCAAGGTAATAGGATAAAGCAGAAAACAAGAGATTATCGTTAAATGAAGATAAAAATACATAAACTAGGTTACACAAGGTTTGAGAAAATAATTTTATATATCCCAAGGTATGAAGAAATAGATTAAAAAACTGGTTTGTTTAAAGTCCATGCCGACATGTTCTAGAGGTAATTTGGAATACTCTGAGGAAATAAATGCAATTCTCAGAAATTAAAATCATCATTAGCTATATACTGCTCAAGCAACAGTAAGGAACTAGAAAGCAATAAAGAATTTATAACACAACAACTATTACCAATCTTAACCTCAGGTAAAACTTAAAATTCTTATGTTTGTAAACAACATTCCAAATCTTGGTAATTTTTACAGTGGAACATCTTAAAAATAAAAACCAAGTCTTATACCTATTATCAGAGAAAATAAACTAAAAAGGGAAATAGAAGGAGATACAGAAACTCACATAATAATTTCAGCATCCAGGCTTTGAAAAAGGCCAGAAAAGGGGCAAAGGCCTGTAAATAGCAAGTGATCTTTCAGGAGTCTCTATTTACTAGAAACTTAGGACTCTCATTTGATAGTCTATGAAATAAAATGTTTAGTCATCTTATGTAGTTATAAAGTTTGTTCTATGGTAAGAGTACAGAATAAAAGTCACATGTTGAATACTACCCTATATATTCACAACATGAAAATAGAAGCAGGCACACCAGTTAATCTAGTAATATCCATCATCAAATACTAAAAAATTTATTTTCTAGGAAATTTTGTCATTTCAATGCAACTTTTCCCATACATTATGAGACAAATTTTATTAAGAACCGTTTATTAAAGAACCGTTTTTTAAAAACGGTTTCCATAAAATTTCCTTTCCGTGAACTTGTGATTATTAAGAAAGACATTCTAGTGGGATAGTCCATAGTGAGGTATGCAGCTAATTCAACGTCTGTACTTCTGGATATGCTCACCAAGTTGTGCCAAGAAATTTGGAGGACAATTACGTGGCCAACTGACTGGAGAGATCCATTATTTATTCCCATTCCAAAAAAAGGTGACCCAACAGAGTGTGGAGATTACTGCACAGTGTCACTCACTAGCAAAATCCTGCTGACGATTATCCAAGAAACAACTGGAACAATACTTTGACAGAAAAACTACTAGAAATATAAGCTGGGTTTTGAAGAAGTTGCCCATGTCAGATGAATCATGGCAGAAAGCAGAGTACCAGATGTATGTCATCTGTGTTTCACTGACTATGCAAAGGCATTTGACTATGTGGATCACAACGAATTGTGGCTAATCTAACAAAAAATGGGAATCTCAGAACAGGGAATTATGCTCATGTGAAACTTACACTCTGACCAGGAAGCAGTCCTCAGAGCAGGGAAACACTGTGTGGTTCAAAATCAGGAAGTGCATCAGGGATGCATCCTGTCTCCATACCTTTTCAAACTGTATACAGATCATTCAGGAAGAAGGGCTTTATGAGGAGGAATGTGGTATCAAGATTGAAGGAAGACTCATCAATCTGCATTACGCAGATGACACAAGCCTGCTTGCTGAAACTGAGGAAGACCTTAAGCTCTTGCTGTAGGTGGTCAAGGACTATAATCTTCAATACGGATTGAAGCTGAACATCAAGAAGGCAAAGATTCTCACCACTGGGCCAATTATTAGCACCATGATTGATGGAGAAGAGACTGAGGTTGTTAATAATTACAGCTTGCTTGGCTCCACAAATCAACACTCTTAACGCCAGCACTCAGGAAATCAAATGACAAGTTGCATTGGGAAATGTACTGTCAGGGACCTCTCCAGAGGTACAGAAAAGCAACCATGTCAGTCTAGAGACTAAGGTGCACCTCATCCAGGTCATAGTCTTTGCAATTACTTGTTATGTTTCAGAGAGCTGGACAACAACTAAGGATGACAGAAGAAGAATTGATGCCTTCGAGTGGTGGTGCTGAAGAAGAGTCCTGAACATTCCGTTGACTGGCAAGAAAACAAATAAAGACTGTCTTGGAAAGGGTGAAACCAGATCTCTTCTTCTTGGAGGTTAGGATACTTTTTTTTTTCCCAACCCACAATGCCAAGTGGCAGATGGGGAATAAGTTTATTCTTATGTACAGAAAAGTCAGTGTGTACATCAGCCCAGTTTGGTGGCGAGTTCTTTGGCCTTGGCCTTCTCCAGCTTGGCGATGCTGGCCACTGACTTGGACACCAGGACTTTGCCATCCCAGTAGCGCCAGATCTCATCATTATCTGTCGCTGTAATTGGTTCTGATGGCTTCTACCAGCTTCACAAGAGTGCCTTTATATTATTCCGGGTTCACCTGTGTGAAGACAACAATGGTACAGGTCTTCTGATGAACAAGGTGGCCCAGCCTGGCCTTGTCCTTGATGATGCAATAGGGAACACCCATCTTTCAACACAAGGCCCACAGGAAGGCCACCAATTCTACGGGGTCTACGTCATGTGTGATCACCAGCTGGGCCTTCTCGTTCTCCACCAGAGTGGTGGTCGTGTTCACCCTGGCACGGAGGACAAGGGGTCTCTTGGTGAGGGTGTATTCTTTGCGAGCAGCCTCTTCTTCTTCTCCTTCTTGGTCTCTGGTCAGTACTTGTGGGCCGGCTTCAGCAGCTGAGCAGCCATGTGGTGGTCTAAGGTCTGAGTAAACTGGTTAATGGTGGGTGGCACCTTGAGTCGTTTGTAGAGGACTGCCCTTTGCTGTTGCATTCAGATGTAGGGGGGCCATTTGGCAAAGTTGGTAAGATCCCTTATGGGTTGAATGTCCTGTCCGATGCCAAAGTTTTTTGATCTTTTCTCGAACAGGGGATTCACCACCTTCTTGGCCTCCTGCTTCTTGTCCACGATGGGTGCTGGGGACAACATCTTCCCTTTGGCCTTCCTTCCCTTCGGCATCTTGGGCAGATGGGCGAGAGTGAGACTAGGATTTTGAAACTCCGTCTCACATATTTTGAGCACGTGCCCAGGAGGGACTCGGAAGGATGGAGGGACAGCGCAGGAGATGATGATCCCAGATGAGATGGATGATACAGTAACTGGGGCAATGGGGGTTGGTGTGTCAGAATTAGTGAGACTGACTCAGGACAGCAAAGAGTTCAGAGCTGTTGTACACAGGGTAGCTACGGGCCACAGATGATTCGACGGCATTTAACAACAATGCCTTTGACTTTTGATTTCACTCACAAGTACTGAGTATATTATCATGGACTGCCAAAAGAACAAATCAGATTTGGAAGAAATGGAAGAGGGTGCTCCTTAGAGGAAAAATTGGGCAGAGATTGTCTCATTCACTATGGGCAGTATTTCAGTAGAGGCTAGTCTTTGGAAAGGGATACTAAGCTCTTTTTAAAAAAGTAGAGAGTCAGTGAAGGAGTTGAAGAACTTAATGAAATGGAATGACATTTTTTCCATCGATTTGTTTTTAAGAAATTTTTTTTTTTAAATTTTTTGTGTGTGTACTATCAAATCGGATCTAAATGATACAGGAGATTGCCCCTCCTTTTCCAGCAGAGTATCAGGTGGATTCAAACTGTATACCTCTGGGACTGCAGTGCAGCTTCTTGCCACTAGGCTACCAGAGCTCAGGTTTCAATCTATTGTACAAAGGCTTGCTATGAGCTGAGAAACTTTGATGGCACCTAACAGCAGCAGCAGCCTACTATTAAAAGAGAACATTAATGACATACATTAAGGAAAACTGGAAGAGCTGAAGCTCAAAGCCTCACATACAGCATTCTGCTTGGAAAATTATTAGGGCATCTTAAAGTAGATGACAATTTCATGTCTTAAAACAGTCTTAATATCTGTAAATATACATTCTATTCTATTTCGTTTTTACGTAACATGAGAATTTCTTGTATTCAAGAATCTTATGTCCACATCATTCCCAAAATGTTAGTATTATGGCTTTTAAGCCTTAAATATGTGAAAAAGAAGTTTATTTATATGGAAATCTTCAAAAACTTACAATTTTTAGAAAATGTGTATAGGGAAAAGTAAATTACATTATCAGAAGTATAGAAAAAGTTTTAATGCATATCCATATAAATATGAATGAAAGAGAGGGAGACTGAAAATACCTTTGTTGATGATGGTGGAGTAGGAAAATTAAGCCAGGCTGGAGCAAAGTCATGCTGCGCCATTTAGGTCCAGTCTCTCCGACTCAGTGAAACAAGGCTTCAACACCTCATGGCAAGTCCCTGTTCATACAACATTGGAAGAAATTAGACCTGCAGCTACTGGTCAAAATTATCTTTTTATAAAAAAAAAAAACACAAAATTTTTATTACTGCAACATCTCATATACAATGAACCTTTTTTTAAAAGGTGAAACTATAGTGCAAGAAAGCAGATTAGTTACGGAGGGTAGAAAGGCTGTAAGGTTTCAAAAAATGTATTTTATGATGTTTATTGTGCTAATAGCTATTGAACTGTAAACATGACAAAATTCTTCAAATTGTACACTTGTACCTAATTTTAAGTCAACTACATTTCCAAAGTTTCTTTTTTAAAAATCTGATGTGATTAAATGCAATTTACATGGTACCATTCATGATAAAATACTCCTAGCTCAAATAAAACCTGAATCTAACCTAGCAATTTACATAAAAAACAAAATAAAAAAAGTTTAAAGGACAACTATTAGAAGTAATCTGTCAACTATAGATCATAAAACAGGACAAATTATTTGGTTTCATCAACAAATAAATGGCTTAAGAGATCAAACAAACATACAAATTCTACAGATACTGAAACAAGCTGCAAACTAACCAAACTAACAAATTCTGTAAAATAAATGTTTGTTTTATGTTACTGTTATGCGACCTCAAGTTAAAACAGACTCATAGCTGGCCCTCTCACAGGTTTTCAGACAGTAAACTGCAAGGGAGGAGACAGCCAATCTTTTTCCCATGGGGCACTGGTAGATTTGAACCATGCTCAGTCAGATTAGCCCTCAGCCACCAGAGCTCCCTCATTTGTGTACGAAATAATCACACAATTTTGAACTTAAGTTGGATAATAGCATTAAGGAATTATTTTAGATATGATAGCCACAGTGGTGCAGTCTACAGGGATTTGCACTGCTATTCAAAGGCCTCATGGGAGGTTAGAATCTACGAGACAGGCAGGCAATCTCCTTTCATGTGTGTTAGTCGCAGAAACCCAACAACTTGAGTTTTAAAAGATAGTCACACTCAAGTCTTGACAACAAATTAGTTGTTGTTGTTATGTGCCATTGAGTCGCCTGCGACTCAAAGCGACCCTATGTACAACAGCCCTAAACTCCTCTCTGTCCTGTGCCAATCGCACTGTCTCTGACACTCCCATCCCAATTATCCCAGTCACTGAATCAATCCACCTCATAGAGGGCCTTCCTCTCCTGCGCTGTCCCTCCACCCTCCCAAGCATGATGTCCCTCTCTAAGGACCGGTCTCTCCTCACTACATGTCCAAAGTAAGTTAGACAGAGCCTCAGAATCCTTGCCTCCAAGGAGCCACCCAGTTTAACCCTCTCCAGGACAAATCCGTTTGTTTTCCTAGCAGTCCATGGCATTCTCAATACTCTTCTCCAGCACCACAGCTCAAAGGCATCAATTCTCCTTCTATCCTCCTTGGTCATTGTCCAACTCTCTGATGCATAACAGGTGATTGCGAAGACCATGGCCTGTATCAGACGCACCTTAGTCTCCAAAGAGATACCATTGCTCTTCAGCACTTTGGAGAGGTCCCTAACAGCAGACTTTCCCATGGCAATGTGCCTTTTAATTTCCTGGCTGCTGGTGCCAAGACTGTTGACTATGGAGCCAAGCAAACTAAAGCTGTGTACAATCTCAATCTCTTCACCATCCATCCTGATGCTGCCAATTGGTCCAGTGGTGAGAATCTTTGTCTTCTTGACACTGAGCCTCAATCCATATTATAGGCTGCAGTCCTTGACACTCTGCAGCAGGCGTTTAGTAAATTAAATAATTCAATTACTAAATCTATGACACATCTTAAGATATAGTCTGAATAGGCACAGTTCCTCTGAACATCAGCCTCATGGCTAATACTGGATACGCATAGTAATTGATTGAAACCATTTGTTCGTATGTTTGTATACACCAAAGCTATATATACTGGTACATGGGGAATTTTATAATACTATTTTCTCTGTGTGTATTCAGTAACTTTAATACTTAAAAGCTTGTTTTAATTAAAATAATCCCAACCAGAATGAAATATTTTAGAAACTGTTCTTCTCAATTGCATCACAAGACTCACGGTGACTGTACCCACTTCAATAATTCTGACTGTTATCTAGTCTTTCTAAACCAAATTTACTTTGTGATTTTAAGTCAAAGACGGTACTTTTCCATCTAAATCCATCTGCAGCTCCTAGGAAGAAAGGTGCGCAGGCAATCTCTTCCCACGTGGTTTATAACTTCCAAAAACCCTTTAGAAGGTCAGCTATGAGCTGGTTCCAACTTCACAGCAATGGGCATAAGGGTTTTGTTGGCGAGTTTTGGGTTTTTTTTAAAAAAAAAAGAAAGAAGAAAACACACTAGTAACAAATGTTTAATATGTACAATTGTATGATAATGTAAAAGGGAAACTTTAGAAATGCTTAAATAAGACAGAAGCAACAGAGGAAGAAAATCCAAAACTAGAAGGTATAAAAAAAACATGAGGCTAACTGCCTCTATAAATAGGAATTTAAATGTAGAGTTCCAGTTACCACTGCTAAACACTTCTATCAGTTTTTAAAAAAGAATTTTGAACAAAAGATGGGAAACACAAAACAGAAATGTAAGCTGAATGAAATCCTGAGTCTACTGCTCCCAGATAATTTTTAGAATATAAATAAAAATAGCCCGAGTCTTTAAGCCAATATAAAAAAGAGTGATGAGCAATGTGAGGACAGAATTTGAATGCTATTAATATAATCTCATTTTCCCTTCTCTACTTTTCCCCATCAGTGACATCCACATACAAAACCAATTCCCTTAAATTCAGGTACAGTCTTCACAATCCTGTATCTATGTTTACTAACACCAAGTGTACTGCTAACACCAAGTGTACTGCTCCACTGGTGGATCCAAAATCCATTGAGAAAGCTACACACACACAAATCAGAGAACTATGGGGTTTAATGCAGAAGTTATGTCAAGTTGGCAGCAAAATAATAGTCTGGACAGCTTCACAGGCATAGGCACAGTTCCTCTGAACTAGTTTTAAAAAGCTCTCTTGGTCCTACCAATGATGGTGTCTCCTCTTGCTAGTTCTCCAAGAAGTTTGGGCAAAGGTCTCTGGCTCTGGCTCCAAGGAGCAGGAGTAATAAAGGTCAGCTCTGTCTCATGTCAGTCTCTGGTTCTCCAATGTGGTTGCTTGTGGTTTCATGCAGGTCTCAGTCTTGACTGGTGCCAGAATCTCTGGCCTTGAAGAATATTTTTTCTCTGTTTTACCTCCTTCTTGATAATTAGATCCCCACTATTTAAACTTGCTCAATTTAAACTTCGTAGGATGACAAAAACTAATCCTATTATGAATCATTCAGCCAGCTGGTTTGCATATTTCTGCCTAGCCATTTGATTAAATCAGAGATAAGGAGCTAAAAAACCCACTTTGCCTACTATCACAGACATCAATAATTTAGCTTCACTAGATCTGCCATGGGAATTTGCGTGCATTCAACATCAATCTATATGGGATCATAATGACAACAGTAACTCAAAAATTAGGTGACAAATAGGGAGTAGTGCTGTGAAGGGAAGAGAAACAGACTATTAAGGAAGTAATCGACTGGGTTGAATTGTACATTAAGGAAGTGTTGAATTAAACTAAGTTTATACTGTGTATATTCTCAACAACTGCAGGGGGGGGAATCCTAATTTTTCACCTCTTATCAATTCTGCAATTTATTCATGGTTCTATGTCTGAAGTTTCTTTACAAGATCCAGTCAGAAAATTGTTAAAATCATAAAGAAAATGACTTATTACTAAGACTACTACATGTTACGTGTTTAAGCATACAATGGACTGTATTCAGCTAAGAAAATGGAGTTCTGAGACTACAATATGGATGGACTTGAAAATAATGGAACATGCAATAACCAGAATCAGTAAACCCACAGAAATAGCAGAATGGTAACTAATAGGTGCTCAGGGGCAGAGGAAATGAAGAGTGACTGATTCACTGTTTACAGTTTTTTTGGTTTTTTTTTGGATGAAAAGTTTTGAAACTAGACAGAGTTGGCAGCTCTACAATATTATAAATGGATTAAATACCACTAATGCTTCCACTTTAAAACATTAGGTTTATGCTAGTTAGGAATTTTGTTACATAATTTCATCTAAATAAAAATACAATAATGCATTAGGTGCTGTTGAGTCAATTCGGACTTATGGTAATCCCATATTCTCCTTTATTTTAAGATCTCTTCAAGTAAACTAGAGCTTCCAGCTTTTCTATTAACAACTGAGTGGTATTAGGGGACCGTTCTGGGAGGCTTGATATATAATCCCTTAAATAGAGAAACCATGAAACAGAATACAAATAAATGAATATATTTTAAAAGACTTTTCCAAGATGAACAACCTGTTTATATAATTGCTACATATATGCCCTAAAACATTCTTTAGCTGTTAATCTGCCAGAGCCTTGATAAACATTACCATTAAGTTAAAATGAACATCATCAATAATGAAAATAAAACTGAAATCACAATACTTATATTAAAAAAGCTCACTTTGTTTTTTTTACTATTCTGTGTCAATGCTATACAATTTGAATCGAAACATGAGAGAGCTATTTGAAAAGCTTTCTTTAAAAAAAAACAACAAACCAAAACATACCTTGGCCCAAAATGTTTAAACTATCAAGTCATGAGAATTACAGAAAAAAAAATTTTTTTTTTACCTATTGATTGATTTGGGGGTGGGGAGGAGTAAAGGACTAGGGAAAGATCCACAGGGCCCTGAAAGCATGGAGTAATAGTGGTCATAATCAGTTTGGATTAATTTTATAAAACACAATGAATGAATGAAGGTTAAGTGTGAAACACAATGGATATGAATTCTGTATGTAAACAAAGAAAATAAAAAAAATTAAGTGTCACTGAAATTTTAGTCCATTAAGCTTTTTTTTGTCCTGTTTTTTGTTTGTTTTTAATTTATTATTAATTTCAATGAAAATTTAGAGACTTTGGATTTCCATTCAT